ATGTGATCCGACGTCACCCTAGCCAAAACTGCCTGAACAACATCCGGGAATTTCTCCACCCATTCACCTGAAATAAAAAATCTATCAATGCGAGAGAAAGTTGGAACTTCCCTTCCACTGGACCAAGTAAAGGAAGCCCCCTCAAGAGGGGGATCAATAAGCTGGTGGCCATCAATAAAATCAGAAAAGTGCATCATAGCCTGGGTCCACGGGTAAACTGTAGACCTCTCCGCCGGGGATCTAACCACATTAAAGTCTCCTGCCATACACCAAGGAAGAGACCACCTCCCCTTCACCCCACTCAACTCCTCCCACAAACCATCTCTCACAACATCATCAACCGGCCCATACACCCCAGAAAAACCCCAAGTGAAGCCATCCTCCTCCATCACAAAAGCACAAGATAAAGAAAATCTCCCTCTGCAAACATCAACTTTAGTCAGCCATCTCCTATCCCATATAATAAGAACACCTCCTGAAGTCCCAACATCATCCAACGCCTCCCATTCAACAAAGCGGTTGCCCCACAGACTTTTCACCACCCGATCAGACAAAGAATCAATCTTTGTTTCTTGAAGACACACCAAGTGCACCCCCCATTTCCTCACTGCCATCTTCACCACCTTTTTTTTTTTTGTTAAAAAAAAAAAAAAAAACTCTTTTCATATCAATTAATAAATATTTTTTATATAAATAAATAAATACTGAAACTCTTTGGCAAAGCTTCTGCATTTTACTCTGGAACTCTAAATTTCTAGATTTCTCAATTTCTGTACCCCTTCCTCTTCCTCCATGCCTCTATTTATAGGCTTCTTGGTTTAATAAGATGATGACATGTGCCTCTCCTGATAATGATGACCGGACCGGTTATATTGTGATAATTATCCATAAAAATAACTATTCTTTTTATATCAATTAATAAATAAATAAATACTGAAATACTGAAACACTGAAACTCTTTGCACATTTAATAATAGTATAGATATATAGAATAGTCTCACCCCATGTAGTGTGAACCGTAGTTTTGGTATACATATTTTGATTAATCTTTATCACCAAATTATATTCCTCAACGTTCTATCGTATTCTATAAAAACCATATGTAGATCTTTTCTTACTTTTGCACTCTTCAAACGTTTTATTAATTAAATGTCCTCATCTAAATTAGTTATCAGACAACGTTGATTCATTCCTTAATCTTTGTTATATCACCCTTTCTCATAGTTTCATTGTATAACCTTTAATTTAATTTCTCAATAATTTATGCAATTATTTTTATATCATTTGGTTTCATAAAGGTATTATTGTGCTTGCCTCCACTTATTTGACGTCGTACATCCTTAATACATTTAATCTGATCCATGTCTCTATTTTACCTCTACTCTTTGCCAATTTATGAGTAGCCTTTTCTCCCTCTTTTGTGTCTAGTTTTGCTTATAAATTATTTAATGCATTTTGTTCAGCTATACTAATTATCTTTTTAGTTTCATTTTTATCTCCTTTATATCTCTAAATTCTCTTGTTGCTTACTCTTTTGCCATTCTTTGACTCTTTTATTTTATTGTAGTATTTGTTGCGTTTCATCATCCCGCCATCACGTTTCTCTTTTGATGAATTTCTTTCCTTTGGTCTCCCCCAAAATATCCTTTTCAATACTCTTAGTATAATTTTTCATTTCTAATCACAAGTTATTTATATTATCATTCTTATTCCATTACTTTTCTTTTAATATTAGTTTTGTAATTGATACCTCTTATTTATTTAAAAAATGGCTAGTCCAATGCATAAGACTCCTGCCATAGCGGGGTCTAGGGAGGGTAAGATATATGCAGCCTTACCTTCGGAGAGGTGGTTCCGGTTTCGAACCCGTGACCTTCAAGTCACAATAGAGCAACCTTGTCGTTGCACCAAGGCTCACCTCAAATGTTAGCTCTTTTTTTATTTTTTTTTATTTTATTTTTATCATTTTATGTTTTGGCCACCTTTTCTGGATTTTTATATGTAAATCCTTTAGTAATTAGTTTAAGATTAGTAGTTGCTTTTGGTTTGTGAGGCTTTTTCCAGGAATTACCTTACAATCGTTGCAAGTGACCGATTCCCTTATTCTATATATGACCTGCAAGCGAAAAAAACAGGTCCAAATTTCTTTCCTTGGGGACGCTGCCCCCAAACCCCCTGTGGCTTTAGTGGGCTTGGGTCTATACAAATCCCAATTTCGGGGCCAGGCCGAAACAAAATTCGGGCTAACGTAGAGAATCTATATTATGTAATTATGTTCTTAAATATATGTTCCTGTGTTTTTCAAAATTTTACCTTCTTTGCTGATTAGATTAATTTGCATGATTTGATGTTGGAAGTTAAATTTCACTTGTAATATAACAATGAAAATTGTGCAATGTATTTATTTTGAATATATATGTATATACAAACATATAAATAGAATAAATTACCTAAAAACATACCTTTATGCTTAGGTACTTTTAATTTTAAAACTACAGTAATTCGTTTTTTAATAGCTAGTTTCTCTTGTGTTTATACGTAATATATTGCTGTATAACCTTATGCTACGTTTGGTGTGTATGAATGGAATGAAATAGAATGCAAGTGGGAATGGAATGAGAATGGGGATGGAATGGAATAACTATTCTCATTCTATTGTTTGGTTGTAAATATGAAATGTGTAGGAATGGAATGATAATAACTATTATAATGTTTGGCTGGACCAATTTAAAATTTAGAATGAAATGAATTTCAAATTGCGTTCCCCAAAATATCCCTCTTAGTAACAAATAAATTAAAATAACAAAATGACATCCTTTTATAATTTTTTAAAAATAAATGGTGGTAGTGGTAGTGGCAGTGGTGGATGGTGGTGACGATGGAAAGCGGTGGTGGTGTAGGTGGTGGTGTTGGAAGGTGGTGGTGGTGGTGGTGGCAATGGTGGAAGACGGTAGCAGTGGTGGTGGTGGTGGAAGGCGGTGAAGGCAATGGTAAAAGGCGGTAGCGGTGGCGATGGAAGGCAGTGCCGGTTGTGGTGGAAGGTGGTGGCAGTGGTGGAAGGCGGTGGCGCTGGCGGTGGTGGTGGTGGAAGGCAGTGGCGGTGGTGGTGAAAGGCAGTGGCGGCGGCAGTGGTGATGGAATGTGGCAGTGATGGAAGGCGGTAGCGGTGTTGAAATGCGGTGGCGGTGGTGGTGGAAGGCGGTGGCGGCGGTGGTGGTGAAAGAAGGCGGCGGTGGTGGTGATGGAAGGTGGTGGTGGTCGAAGGGGGTAGCAGTGCTGAAATGCGGCGGCGGCGGCGTTGTTGGAAGGCAGCAGTGGTGTTGGTGGAAGGCGGTGGCAGTAGTGTAGTGGTGGTGGTGGAAGGCGGTGATGGTAGTGGTGCAAGGCAGTGGTGGAAGGCGGTTGCGGTGGTGGTGGAAAGCGATGGAGCTGGTGGTGATGGAAGGTGGTGACGGTTGTGGTGGTGGAAGGTGGTAGCAGTGGTGGAAGGCGGTGGCGCTGGCGGTGGTGGAAGGTGGTTGCGCTCGCAGTGGTGGAAGTGTAGTGGTGGTGGTGGAAGGCGGTGATGGTAGTGGTGCAAGGCAGTGGTGGAAGGCGGTTGCGGTGGTGGTGGAAAGCGATGGAGCTGGTGGTGATGGAAGGTGGTGACGGTTGTGGTGGTGGAAGGTGGTAGCAGTGGTGGAAGGCGGTGGCGCTGGCGGTGGTGGAAGGTGGTTGCGCTCGCAGTGGTGGAAGGTGGCGGCGGTGGTGGTGAAAGGTAGTGGCACTGGCAGTGGTGGTGAAAGAAGGCGGCGGTGGTGGTGATGGAAGGTGGCGGTGGTGGAAGGCGATAGCGGTGCTGAAATGCGGTGGCGGCGGTGGTGGAAGGCTGCGGTGGTGGAGAAAGGTGGCGGCGGCGGCGGAAGGAGGTGGCGGCGGCGGCGGAAGGTGGTGGTTATGGTGAGTGGCAGCGGCGGTGGTGGTTGTGGGGAAAGGCGGTGGCGGTTGTGGGGAAAGGCGGTGGCGGTGGTGGTGGTGTTGTTTGCGGCAAAGGAAGGCAGTGTTGGTGAAAGGAGGTGGCAGTGGTGGTGGTGAAAAGTGGTGGGCGATGGTGAAAGTCGGTGGCGGTGGTGGTGGTGGAAGATGGTGGTGGTGGTGAAAGGCGGAGGAGGTTATGGTAGAAGGTAGTGGTGGTTTTTGGATTTGGAACATGAGGGTTTTTTGGGAAATTGATTTTTTAAAATTTTTTACTTGGGTTCCATTCCCACTTTAAATTGCGTATCAAACAAAGGAATTGTTGGAATGGGCATTCCATTCCATTCCATTTCTGCACACCAAACGTAGTGGTTTAATAATAATGAATCTAATTTGCAGCATGAATCATATATAAGTTTTATACAACAGTTTATTTCATTATAAAAAATTATGGATGCATTGCACAATCTAATTGAATGGCTAAGACTGTAAGAGAAAAATAGAACTTAACAAAATGACATTATTTATTTGATGGGTATTTCAGTAACTGCATCATTGTTAATGGCAACCTGGTGTTATGGCCTGATATGCAAAAATTTTATAGTTTGGGAAGTTATGTACCGTCAGTTTTTATTGCAAAAATTTTTTTCGAGGATTTTTTTTTTACAAAAATAAAAAATAAAATGATTGGGGACCAGATATTTATTCTGTTAACAATTTTGGTATATACCTAATAAAAACTCTCAGGCTTCCACTAGCTGACTAATCTCCCCTTCCTCTTGGATTACGTGATAGCAGGCTTCATTGTAATTCGGCTTTTAACAAATATTTGTTATGGATCACAAAATTATCATGACTCGCCACATGATGGATCCATAGAATAGATAGACCATACAAATAAGAATTGTTTGATTGCTTCATCTGACATTAAATCTATGTATTCTAATATGTGATAACTGTGTTTTCTTCAGCAACGATTAAAGTTAACTGCACAAATCATTTCCATCGTCAAGGAAATTGAGTGTTGGTTTTCTCTTTTGCTGTAGGAGATTGAGGGTTTAAAGTCACTGATAGCTGAATGTCCTCAAGACAAAGATATGCTGGACATGGCAACTGAGGAATTGGATCAGGCAGTGAAAGACGAGAAAAGACTGCAGAGTCTGCTGCTGAAATCATTACTTCCCAAGGACGATGCTGATGAACGGGACTGCATTTTGGAGGTTAGAGCAGGTAAAGTACTTGTAATAGTGAGTCTAAATGCATGATTCAGTAGTGACCATAGTTATTAAGGCGCATGACGAGGTGCGAGCCTGAGCTCAGGCGTTTGTTGTTAAAACATGCACATAAATCATATAGCAAGCCGTTGCAAAGTTGCAGCAATAGAATAAGACAATCATCTATATACTAAATACATAATCACAGCACTCACAACCATGGAAGAGTCAACAAGTCAAGAACATAACATCTTAAATGCAAATAATATAGCAAAATCACAGCAGTAAGTTAAGTACAGAAAGAAAAATGCAGCAGGGATGACACGGGCATGGCCCACAGAAAATATAACTGTGCAAGAAAATTACATTAACAATGGCTGATGACCACTGTAAAATATAACAAAATACAGTGCGAAAGATAGAAAAAATACCCCATGCAAATATATCATGTCTAATTCAGTAGAAAGTTTATGTCATGCAACATAATACTTAGTTTATTTTCATATATTTTTTTACAAGGGAATGTTAATAATGACATATATACCATGCCAAACAACTATTATTTTAAATATACGAATATATACATATATAGTTTAATTTATATACATATCTGCATTAATGCAATAAATAGCAATGGCTGATGGATCACTGTAAAATATAACAAAATTAAGTGTGAAAGATTTATAAAATACACATGCGAATATATCATATCTAATTCAATAGAAAGTTTATATCCGTCCAACATAATTCTTAGTTCATTTACATATTTATTTTTATAAGGGAATGTTAATAATGACATATATAACATGTCAAGCGACTATTATTTTAAATATATTAATATATACATACCGAAATGATCTCTTGCTCACCATTGTGCAAGGAATTCACCCATACCATGCATAATGACCGTTGGATATGATTTCTGTGTTGTTTTTTTTTTTTCAACTACCTTTTTTACATCCAACGGTCACTGTACATGGTGTGGATGAATTTCTTGCTAACCGGTGAGCGGAGATCATTACCCTGTATAAATATATAGTTTGATTTTTATTCATATCTACATAAATGGAATATATATACATATATATTGCCGTGTCCTTCTTGTACCTATGCCTTATTTTTGTAAAGTTTTGTCGTGTCTGTATAGTGTATTCATGTCCATTTTTCATAGGTGCAAGAGTACGAGCAAAATCCTCGTAATTTTTGTTGCATTTATATGTTTGGTAGTTGCAGTCATGGAAATGGAAGAGTAAGCCTTGAATGATCTAATAGGGGATATATGCCTAAATATATATATATATATATATATATATATAGAGAGAGAGAGAGAGAGAGAGAGAGAGAGAGAGAGAGAGAGAGAGAGAACAAAGGAGTTAAATAAGAGCTGAAAAACCGGGAAACCAGAGGAAAAATTGGGGTTCGTTATAACCAAAGAGAAGAAAAAAGGAAGACAGAAAAGAGAAGAGAGAATCGGAGAGAGGAAAAAAAGTAAGAGGGGGAAAATAAGGGCCTTCTTCAAGAAGGAAAAAAACAGAATCTGTGACACAGGTAGAAGCGAGCAAAAGGAAGAAATAGAGATACTTGTATTGTGAAAGGTAAACAAATAGCGAAAGAGAAGGGTTTGTAATGGAGAAAAAGAAGAGTAGAAAAGGAAAGAGAAATAAATAGTAGATGGAATTAACTTGAAGATGGTCTCCCGGCGAGGGTTCCATTGTTGCAGGCTCGCAGCTTCGCCTCTGCAATGGTGACTGATATTTCCTCTATTTTTTTGTTCCCCAGTTGCCTTTGGCCAATGATTATCTGGGAATCGTGGGTTTCTATATTTTACTTTATAACATCCACTGGAGATCGCCTTATTATTGTGTGCCAAGTCAAATTAAACTTAAAAAAGAAAACCTGAATAACAAATCGTGGGAAAAAGTTTAACTTCAACTAGGGATACCTTTAGTGCAAAGCACACACCTTCTTGAAATCACCTCATATGGATGCTTCTCATGCTTTTTTCTTTTGCACCTAAGTATGCCTCTAACAACTGCAATAATGCCTACTTTTCTGGTTTTAATCTGCGACAAGTTTTACCCATGCAGTAGCTTTCAAGTTATTATTGACTAAAATATGTTTCAGGAACTGGAGGGGAAGAGGCTTCTTTGTTTGCAATGGACATATTTAAAATGTGAGTTACTGCATGAAATATTGTTTGTTTTAGATTCCTGTCAACAAGTTCTCATTTGAGATTATGACCTTGTTTAAATTCACAAGGTATGATAGATACTCAGTGAAGAAGGGTTGGAAATTTGAGGTGGTAGATGTAGCAGAATCTGATCTCAAGGGATACAAGGTATGTCTTCTATTCTTCCGTGCTATATTCAACAATATGTCCTCTTATGGACAGGTAGGCTTTTAAATTTGACTTGAAGTTTGTCAGTAGTTTTTGGTGGTTAATCCCAAGGATGTACCTTGTGTAGATCTTTTTGATATTGCAATAATGTCACTATGCAACAAATTTTCTAATATACTGTTAGCCTTGCCAGGAAGCTACTGCATCAATCTCAGGAGCTGATGTGTTTGGGAAACTTAAATTTGAGAGTGGAATTCACAGAGTGCAGGTTCCATTAACACCTATCTCGTAGTTTAACTTATGGTTGCCACTAGAAAATACAGATTACCTTTTCTAATATTTGGCAGCGAGTTCCCGTGACAGAGAAGTCTGGACGCATTCACACCAGTGCAGTGTCTGTTGCTATCCTCCCTCAGGCTGATGAGGTGCTGACCTATTTGAGTAGATGTTTTATAATAAATTGTTTGAGACATTATTATATCAAAGAGGAACGTTTGTAAGGGGCAACATGCCCGTGTCGGACACATGTCCGAGCCTCGGACATATGTCCGACACGTTATAAACGTGTCTTTATTATTATTATTATTATTATTAGGGAATGGATACGCCGGAGGACACGCCATGGATATGATGGATGACATGACATGGCTTCAGTTTGTTAGATTTTTTTATTTTTTATTTTTATTTTCTTAAACAGATAGAAGAAGATGATATAAGTATCTATATGGATGATGTATATATTCATTCTCTATATATATAATACACAAGGGGAAAAATCAATGGAAAAAATTCAAGATACAAATCATGGTATAAAGTATGAAGTGATACAATACAACTAAATTTACAGATCTGTTCTTGTCATGTTCTTCTATGTCGCAGATCTGAAATTTTCTGGCTTGAAATTTCCAGTGAGAGAGAGATCAGATAGACAATAGGAGATGAGAGAGAAAAACGGTAGAGAGAGAGAGAGAGAGAGAGAGAGAGAGAGAGACGTACTTGAATGAGAGACTGAGTAGGAGATAGAGGGGATAAGATTACTATCTTGTCTTCTTTTGCCGCTTGTTTGGTCACAAGGTTAAGACTTATGTTCTTTGGATATAAAGCTTTAGTGGTCTGTAGTGTAATTAAATTTGGCCATGAACCTTTATATTTTTTGAAAAGGAATATGGAATATCTAGTTAGCCTAATTTAATTGGGTTATGGATAGAGCAAAATTAAAATACACACACACATATATATATATTATATAATAATAAGATTATATTATTATTTTATTATTGTATCCTTGCTTCCGTGTCCTATTTTTTTTTTTATAGATTTGACGCATCGCCGTGTCCGTGTCCGTGCTTTGTAGTAGAAAAGGAAAGGAGCTTAAGGGAAAGAAAGAGAGTAGCAGATCCTTCCTTCCAAAATCTGTCCAAAAGAGGGTGGAATGGAGGAGACAAACGGCTTCCTTCCCTCTTCTCCATTTAGTCTGAGGGATCAGAATTGTGAATTAAGGAAAAGTAGGCAAGATGGAATCATTAATATATATAGGGAAGAAAGCTATATATTGCTTCTTTTTTATATATTGTCTGGCGCTTCCTTGATTTAGTATGCCATTATTGTTATGTTTGAAATATTCTTAGATTCTGTTATCTTCTGTTTAATTCATCTTCTTTGTGGTTAAGAGAATTACCATAAGGGGACTAGTTGATCATATTTTAAGCTTTTACAGGTAGATGTCCAGTTGAAGAATGAAGAGTTGCGAATTGATACATATAGATCAGGTGGGTCAGGAGGTCAGCATGCAAATACTACTAACAGTGCTGTTAGGATAACTCATATTCCAACTGGGATGACAGTCTCCATACAGGATGAAAGATCCCAACATATGGTGAAAGATTCTGAACTGATGCAATTGTTTTCCTTCATGTCATCTTTTAATTCTGTGAAAAAATTGGCCTTTTGTTCCAACATCTGGATAATGTTTTGTTACTACTTACCGAAAAAATACTATTTTCTTACTAGTGTCCTGATATTCATTGGTGATTGAGAAAGTGAGAATAACCTGGGTGATTCTCTTTGTTGGGTTTTGGATAGTCACTTTAAGTAACATTTAACATTCATTCAATTTCTGATCAAGTAAATGGATGTTGAATTTATCTTTTATCGGATGGTTATATGAAAAGAATGGTGAATTAGTAATATAATACTCGTATCTTTATGCTTAAATTGTTGCTGTTCATTTGATTTTCTCAGTTCATGAACATATTTAAATAATATTAAAGGTCTTGGGCTTTTCTTTTCTAATTCCTCTCATAGCATCCTCTTTAGGCGGGAGACATGCAGTGTAATGCAATTTCTTGTTAGTAGAATAGAACTTACACTAACAATTACAAGATGTGACACATTTCCTTGGTTATCGGCATCCAGTAGATTAGAACTTGCACTAACAACGGGAAGTGGGTATTATAGGTTCAAGTCTGACTTCATTTCTGTTTTTGTTTTGATAAGTAACGCATACACCTATGTCAACCAGGACTTGAACCTTGCACCTCCCCACTTGAGGGAGGTTCAAATCTACTTTAAATGGTGTTAGACTGGGTTTGCTTCTAGGTGTAGCTGAAATGGAACTAAATGGCCTGTTGAATTCCTTAAATGTGTATTCTACCATGGCCGGGGTCATGTCTTTGGCAACACTTTAGTTTCATCTTTTGTGTTCTCACCTGTTAAGGGCTTCTTCTTGTTCTTGGTTTCCTTACTTCTATTCCCCATATTGAGATGTATCAAGAAGGATAAATCTGGATTACGATTTATGAGTATAATTATGCTGACAGCATTAAATCTGAATGACAAGACATTGTTGTTCCGGTTTATCTTTTTCCCTTTTGACGATGATTGAAACAGAGGCACGTACATTCCTCTGATTTATGTGATAGATATTTTGCTGGTGTTTTTACTGAATTATGCACGTACAGATTTACACAAATGTAGAAGTTATTATTATTTTTTTTTAATAAAAACTTTTCCACCCTGGTTAATGCAGTACCAACTGCATTACTTTTGCACACGTAATTATCAGGTAAAAAATATCTGCTATTCTACTGTCTCTGCATTATATTCACATTCCCTTTTGGTTCTCTCGTCGTCTTCTTCCTTCCTCCTCTTTTTCTGGGTCTTTTTACAGAACAAAGCAAAAGCTCTCAAGGTATTATGTGCAAAGCTCTATGAAATGAAAAGATTAAGAATTCACACAAATCGATCGAAACTTCGCTCGGAGCAGGTACTTTTTGCCTTTGAGATTGTAAACTTTTATGTGGCTGTCAAAATTGCCTTTTTTCCAGAATGATGTGGAGATCTTGATGAACAGATTGGTAGCGGGGACAGATCTGAACGTATTCGTACATATAACTATCCTCAAGGGCGTGTTACTGATCACCGTGTCGGCATCACTCATCATTCGATAAATGATGTAATGCAGGGAGATAGTCTTGATTTCTTCATCAATGCACTTCTTTTGCAGCAGGAAATGGATGCAATTGCATCTTTCACCTCTATTCAATGATACCAGTCAAGGTCTTGTCAAATCTCCACCCCAAATATTTCCTCCTCTCTCAAAAAGATCTTTGATGACAAATCATGTCTTATTTTTGTTTTATATAGCCTGGCAGACTTTGTGATGCCTTTTTTTTCCTTCTCGTCTTTTATTTAATTTTTAGGGTGTATGGAGTAGTAGGGGATCAATTATGCAGGAAGTTCATTATATTTATTTTCCAATTTTAGAACTTCTATAATCGCAATTTTATGTTATGCATTTTAATACATACAATATTACACACTTGCGGCTTGCACAATCTATGTTATGGGAATCAATGGCTACCTTGTGATTATTTCTTTTTCTTTTAGTATCGATAATGGAAATTTTACACTTGCGCGATATACTCTGCATAGGTATTGTTTTGCTTTTCATTTATTCTCTTTTCTTCTCATTCCCCCCCTAGAGGTACAAGGTGCTAGGCGCAGGATTTCTGCACCTTATTTGGACATCTAGTTTGAAGATGTGGAGTAAAGTTTAAGCTCAAGACTGAATAGGAGGAAATTTTGAAAAGGTTAAAAGAAGATAATGCAATGCTTAAAGCTGAGGAATATAGAAGACATAAAAGAATGTTGTTGGATGAGGATGAATTATACTGAAGGGATCATACGACTTGTTTGTTTTTGAAAAATTAGAATATTATTAAGGACTTGGTTGCATCAGTAAATAGTTCTATTCATTCTGATTGTTGATTGAATCAGACCAATATAGTTTTGATTTTTAAAAACAGTACCCCTCCCGAGATGACGCCATTTGTTTGCAGATGTGAGATTTTCTGTGGAGCTGCAAAATTAGAGCTGGCAAAACGAATTTTTATTTAAAAGAGTATGATGAGCTTCCAGGCTCTAGCAACAGTAAACTGAAATGGAAAATCCTTACAGTCGTTAAATATTTGGGTTCACTCTCAGTGATTGGGCAATCTAAGTGTTGTTTGGTTTTTTGGGGGAGAGAGAATTTGGGTTGAGTTGAAAGGGTGGAATGAATTTTTTGTTTGTTGGTGAAGATTTCTTGTTGAAATCAGTTTTGTCTGCTCTTCCCATCTTTTCTCTCCGTCTTGTTTTATTTAATCCCAAAGATTTTAGACAAACTAATGAAGGGATTCTGGTGTAATAGTCAAGGAAAATAGGCAAAATATGGAGTGGATTCGTTAGGATATATCGGGGAGGTAAGGATTGTTCTCTCTCTCTCTCTCTCTCTCTCTCTCTCTCTCTATATATATATATAGTAAAAAGAACAAAAGAGGTCGGTCACATGGCTAAGAATGTGATGTACCTTTGTTAAATAAAACACGACCAAGTCTATCATATATAGGAAAAAAACCCTCAATAACCTGAGCAACCTACACATCACAAAGCATGATATGTAGGTTGCCTTGGAGGCTGTGGAGGTGCTGGTAAAGCTGAAAAATTCTGAGCATGCAAACGTGGAATATGTGGCGTAGGCAAAGGTAATGGTTGTCTCTATCCATGTTGCCTATGCTGACTATAGTGACCCTGATTAGCTTTGGGACACCTCTTGGCTGGGTGCCCAAGCTCTCCATAATCAAAACATCATCCCCTAAAGGGACCTGACTGCCTCCTCTATTGATTCCCTTTGGTTGACCCTATCCAGTCTGAGGTGCTCCATTCTGTTACCTGTGAGTAGGAACTCTCTCTCTAAACATTTGTGTTACCCATGTGCTTCTTTCAAGGCTGGTGTCCTTGCAATCTACCCATGTCATTGTGTCTACCACCATTGTCATTTTCCCTTTCAACTATCTGATTGGCGGAGTCTTTGTCACCCCGCTTATCACCCTTGGATTCCTGTAGTCTCTCCTCATCTAAAAGTGTTGTAAAGCTGCATCAACCACCTGAGAGTAAGTGGAATAGGCTGGGTTGCCTAATATCACTTGCTTAATGGGCCAAGTCAACCCATTAATAAAGCAAGTCTTCTTCTTTTCCTCCGTATCCACCTCTTCAGGTGCAAAGAAGGACAAACTAGTGAACTCTTACTCATACTTTGTAATTGTCCTATCTCCCTGTTGTAGGTCTAGAAACTCTCTCTTCTTGGTTGCTTTGACTACAAATGGAAAGTACTTGTCATTAAAGCCAGCCTGAAACTATGCATAAGTCAATGTGGTCCTCTCCTCTATAGTGGTAACAGACTCCCACCATTGTAAAGCATCTCCTACCAGCTTGAAAGTAGCAAGCATCTGATTTTGAACTCAGTACATTCTACCATATGGAGATGATGCTCCACATTCTTCTTCCACCGATAAACTGTCCTCATATATGTGGACCCTAAAAATTCTGGTGCGATCCCTTTCGTGAAGGAATTCCTGACCTTCTCCCAAGTATTTGGCTGCCCTGCCAGTATAGGAATGGGTTCTTGCTAGGGAGGTTGTTGATTCTAAAGAGCTATTGTCACTCTTGTAGCTACAACTTGAGCAATGATATCAGCACTGTTGGGAGGAAGTTCTGGATTCCCACCATAGTCATTGCCCTGGTCCGAACTCTCTTCCTGATATAGAGGCAGATTGCAGTTTCTGTTCGCATTCCTCCTCCTTTCCCTCCTTTGTCTAGAGTTAGCAATTCCGAAATATCAGCAAAGTTTGGCATTAATATGCAATAACGGACCGAAATATAGAGTACAACTAATCCTAATACCTGGGCTCTAAATATCATAATACACAACATGGAAGTATTGTAACAAAGGATCTCTAAGACACTCGAACTTGGAGTGCTCTGATACCAACTGTGATACTCCCCAATTTCCAAGCATGGGTTGATCAGGTCCACACTAAAAAATCGGGGGATATCAAAACAATTAGGTAATAAACAAGCACAGATTACAAGAATATAATAATGAAGGAATTAAAAGCAAAAAAGAAATTTAATAAATGATAATATGCATCCATCTAAGAAATCCATAATCGTTTAAATCTCTAAAATATAACTCGGGAATCCCATAAAACAAGGACCCCTAAATCTATATCCCAAAAAAAATCAAATAAATAAAGATAAATAATTTTAAAGTCTAAATAATGAAAAAAATATCATACTCTGAAATAAACAAGAATAGTGGATGATGAACAACATCCCTGAGCTGCTATGTCCTTAACCCTGAAACTGGAACTGACGAGATCGAACCTGAAAATACCAACAAAAGGTGGGTCAAACGCACGAGCAAGTCCCCTCTACTATGACCCAATAGAGAATCGATAAACTAGTCATCACTAATCAAAACTGACCTAATGACAACCAACCATACATACTAGATAACAAGTGTGTACAATGTATAATGCACTTAAACATGGACGAGAGAATCATTAAATACACCCCTAATGCATAGGCCCTCTATCATGTTCAGGAATCAAACACGTATACAGGTAGCAAATAGCTAACCAACACAAGCCTGAACATCAAATTACTGGGCAACACATCCCGGAAATATAATCCACATATCCCGACAGTAACGAATCATGTCCTAGGAACGAATCCAAAGGGTATAGGTGTGACTGCGTTATTAATCAATCCACCGTGGTTCCATGTCACATTATACATTAATCACATACCAAGACAGCAACGAATCATATATTGGGCTACACAACCAAGGTTCTAGGCATTATTATAATCATTAAATTACACAACGTCCAAGAGTTGTTATGTCCTCAACCCTGAAACTGGAACTGACGAGGACTTGCAAATATCAACAAAAGGTGGGTCAAGCCCACGAGCAAGTCCCCTCTACTACGACCTAACAGAGAACTGATAAACTAGTCATCACTAATCAAAATTGACCTAATGACAACTAACCATACATACTAGATAACAAGTGCGTACAATATATAGTGCACTCAACCATAGCCGGGAAAATCACTAAATACACCCACAGTGCATAGGCCCTTGTGATACTCCCGAATTTCCACATGTAGATTGGCTAGGCCCACACCCGAAAACTCGAGGATATAAAAAAAATTAAGTATTTAAACAAACACGGAATACAAACAGGTAAATAAAATAAATAAATAAATAGCTGAATGGAAACTAACTAATGAATAATAATTCTTAAATAATAAAACCTCCAAAACTTACATCTCCTCAATAAAACTAATCTCCAATGTATACAACTTCGGAATCTGTAAATCAAGGACCCCTAAAATACAATTGTAACCTAAAATATAAACTTCATGTCTAAACAATAATAAATAAGGTAGCATCCTACATCAACGAATCCAGAATATTGATAAAGACTATCTCTGATCAACACGACCTCAATTAAGACTGGAACTGATAAGAACCTAAAAAATAAGGGTGGGTTAGACCCACGAGCAAGTTCAAACTACAATGTCCCTGAAAATCGATAAACAAAATTTCTTTAAAACTCATGCAATAGCTACATAATCAATACATACTATACACACTATAGACGCTCCTTGAAATATAGGGCAATCTCAACTGGATAGTGGGTGTCTTATGAAAAATCGCACACAACGTGGTTAAGAGTTCACTTTCTACCAGGGCCCACACATCTCCTATATCCAGCTACTCATCTTCGGTAATATACGCCTCAATTCTAACCACTAATCTCGACGCATGAATTAACTCGTATGATGGCATATATATATATATATATATATATATAATAACAACACCAAAGCCATATCTAACAATAACACAATATATGTGAGACTAAACTTATTAGCAGTCCACATACTCTCGTCATAATCATATAAATAATAAATAATGGGCAATGAATCCCTGAGCATTGAACCACATACCCGGACAAAGAAGAATTATGTCTATGGCAACGAATCTAAAAGGTATAATTGAGTCTAAGCTTATTAGTCAGCTCACATATATCAATCATCGCAACCATATCTTAACATTGGTATAAAGTGGATGTGACCAAACTTATTAGCTAGCACACCTATATACATCCAAGTATCATACCTGTTGACCCTACGGATTTCTCTTAAGGGTAATCTAGTACTTTTGATGATAACAAACCATTCATGGTGTTCAATATACTAATGTTTATATTGAGTTTAATGCTAGATAAAAAGGAACACTATGAGAAAGGAAGGTTAAGTCCAAAACACGATTATATCAAGGACATTGAAGTTGCAATAAGACTTATTCTGAATCATGTCACCAAAGCAACTCAGAACTGGTATAAGGAAGTCTCGGAAGCCTCAATGATCATTAATGCTTACTAATGGGGTAGATAGATTGGTGAGAGACTTAGGAATTCAAGTGTAAAGAATCGTTGAAATCAATTGAAGATAAAACTAGGATTATGCATCACTCGTACACTTTAATC